GAATTGTGTAGTGTGTTATTGTCTGCCTGTGAAGTGGCAGTGACAGAATTCGGCGTACCTGGGACTGGCTAACGGAAGAGACGACTGACAGTAAGTTGCTACGGAGGAGTGTAACCAGCGAGTTGCAAGAAGCTCCTGCCAGGGGTTCGCTACCCTTGTAGTTGTTCGTGAAGAGGGCCAGCAGCGCGAGGCTGATATTCTCTGCCAGCTCCAGGCTGGAGAGTGAAGGTGTATGTGCATGAAGAGCACCTAGTGAAACTGTGTTTTGGCTGGCTCGTGGCTAGGGTAGACACGTTGGTGTTTCCCAGTACTGGTTGAGGACGGTACTGTGTTGAGGAAACACGGTAGCTGACAAGACTGCATCGATTGATCATCGAATAGCGTTTAGTGTCCTATAAGAGAGACTTTTGTGTACATATTAAGTGTAGTAATACTTCCTTTAGGATTATATATGAGGTGATGGGAAAGTGATTATATATGAATATATTGATAATTAATGAAGTGTAGTATTTAATGCACCACCCCCAGTGTGTTTTTACTTGCATTACCGAGCTCACTCCTTGAAAGCCACAACTAACTTGGGGTTGGATACCAGAACTTTAGTACCTCCAGAAAAGAACCCGGTTACGACCCATTGTGGCGGTAACACAGTGCCTATATATGGTGAGGGGGTTGATCCCCCCTTAATGACTAATGCCTATGTATGGTGAGGGGGGTTTGATCCCTTCTTCATGACTAGTGCCTATGTATGGTGAGGAGGGTTGATCCCTTCTTCATGACCAGTGCCTATGTATGGTGAGGGGGGTTGATCCCCCCCTTCATGACCAGTGCCTATGTATGGTGAGGGGGGTTGATCCCTTCTTCATGACCAGTGCCTATGTATGGTGAGGGGGGTTGATCCCTTCTTCATGACCAGTACCTATGTATGGTGAGGGGGTGGAAATTCTTGGTGTAAAAAGGTGTAAAATGTTAAAAAAAAAACAAGAAATATCATAACATTAATAACCTATTAGTTATGTCATACTAATATTTTCGTGCCATGATCAACCATCACCCTTAAGCCTTCATCTCCCTTTCCCCTCATCCTCTCTCCCTTTCCCTCATTCCATTATCCACTTGCAGTGCTGCTCCTCTGACGACCACTAACATCACTTGCCTTCCCTGACAACCACTGACACCACCTTCCTACGTGACAACCACTGACACCAATTGTCTCCCTTGGCAACCACTGACACCACCACCCTCCCCTGACAACCACTGACTCCAACGTCCTTCCCTGGCAACCACTGACACCACTTGTCTCCCCTGACAACCACTGACACCACTTGTCTCCCCTGACAACCACTGACACCACCTCCCTCCCCTGACAACCACTGACACCACCTCCCTCCCCTGACAACCACTGACACCACCTCCCTCCCCTGACAACCACTGACACCTCCTCCCTCCCCTGACAACCGCTGACGCCACCTTCCTCCCCTGACAACCGCTGACGCCACCTTCCTCCCCTGACAACCACTGACGTCACCTGCCTTATGCGGTAAATATTATTGAAGCTACCGTATATATATATATATATATATATATATATATATATATATATATATATATATATATATATATATATATATATATATGAGCTACTGTAGTTTATTCCTTCCATACAGTGGTATCAAGGAAAGTGGTGTTGCTTTATTTTGGTGTGTCAACTTGTGCTGCGACTATAGGACTAAACCTGAATTACACCTCTAAATTTTTGGGGTCGACCTATGCGCCAGATCGACTTCTACGCCAGCATATGCGTAATTATTATGTTGAACTATAATTTTGCCTGAAACGCTATGCATGTTAGGGGCTTTATACAAATATAACGAATGTAACCAGTGCTGCATTCAGGAGAATCGCAGAGTTTCTAATAATTTTTGAATATGGTGTTCAAAACTTATAATTAAAACATACCATAGTCACTGGTTTTATATATTTGTTCACGAATGACTGTTCACCAAATTTAACTTCAAATTTTCGCTGTAAATCTTGTGTTAGCTTAAAGACTTCCCAATATCACTATAGCATTTAGTACGTGTTAGTGGCTTCACAAGACTGCACATGCACTGTAGCATCCACTGAACAAGACACTTACAATACCAGGATCACATTTCCTAAAAGCCAGCATCATCTCTTCTGAAACTCACCTCAAATGTTCTTTGACTACACCAGCTATTAAAGGTTTCAGGCCTAGATGAACTATCACTGTCTCCTAGATGAAATAGTATTGTGTCCTACATATAATATTACTAATAATATATATATATATATATATGCGAACAAGCCTGAATGGTCCCCAGGACAATATGCAACTGAAAACTCACACCCCAGAAGTGACTCGAACCCATACTCCCAGGAGCAGCGCAACTGGTATGTACAAGACGCCTTAATCCACTTGACCATCACAACCGGACATAATGAGGTGATAGCCGAGGCTATTTGAACCACCCCACCGCCGGCACTCGGATAGTAATCTTGGGCATAGCATTTTACCAAATCACCTCATTCTTTGGGGCACACGTGAGGAACACAAATGCGAACAAGCCTGAATGGTCCCCAGGACAATATGCAACTGAAAACTCACACCCCAGAAGTGACTCGAACCCATACACCTCATTATGTCCGGTCGTGATGGTCAAGTGGATTAAGGCGTCTTGTACATACCAGTTGCGTTGCTCCTGGGAGTATGGGTTCGAGTCACTTCTGGGGTGTGAGTTTTCAGTTGCATATTGTCCTGGGGACCATTCAGGCTTGTTCGCATTTGTGTTCCTCACGTGTGCCCCAAAGAATGAGGTGATTTGGTAAAATGCTATGCCCAAGATTACTATCCGAGTGCCGGCGGTGGGGTGGTTCAAATAGCCTCGGCTATCACCTCATTATGTCTGGTTGTGATGGTCAAGTGGATTAAGGCGTCTTGTACATACCAGTTGCGCTGCTCCTGGGAGTATGGGTTCGAGTCACTTCTGGGGTGTGAGTTTTCAGTTGCATATTGTCCTGGGGACCATTCAGGCTTGTTCGCATATATATATATATATATATATATATATATATATATATATATTTTACTTATTTACAAGAAGCAACATTGGGTTTGTGAGACTACATAATATTGCCGGTTTTACATTCTTGTAAAGGCACTAACACGCATAGCGTTTCGGGCAGGTCCTTAATCTAACAGATCAGGTAACATGAAGAGATACATTGTACGAAAATTTGACATCAACATATAACTACAATATAGATTGACGGAGGTGATTACAATGCTGACAACCCGTTCTCGCAAATTCGTAAAGTCAATATTGACTTATTAACTACGTGCATAGGTGATATACTAAACATAATAGATACCCTTAAAAAGATTGATAGAAAACACCAACCATACCTAACCTTGTTAGTATCTTAAGATAAGCATCTTATTGCTTCGTAATTACAATTATTACTTAACCTATACCTATTATAGGTTAGGTAATAATTGTAGTTACGAAGCAATAAGATGCTTATCTTAACATACTAAGTAGGTTAGGTAAGGTCGGTGTTTTCTATGAATCTTTTTAAGGGTATCTATTATGTTAAGTATGTCACCTATGCACATATTAAATAAGTCAATATTGACTTATTAAATTTGCGAGAACGGGTTGAATGCTGAAGATGCCTGGCTTAAGTACTTGTATTGGGGAGTTGTGAGCCCAAAATACGGTGTGAGTTAAAAGCACAAGATAGGAAACTATGAGGATGAAATTAAGTATTGTTTGGTTGTACTTTTGAATAAGGCATAGGTTGGAAAAAAAGTTCCTTCATTAGGAAGTGACTACAATAGACTGGGTCCTTTTATTTGCAAAAAAGTGTTTGTACAGATTTAGTTAGACTCTGTTGATATCAAAGAGATATTTATTTCTGGTGTGATGCTCATGGATTCTATTACACCTATCAAGGAAAAGTTTCAGATCAGGATTAGCATTTAGGAACAAGGTTTTGTATATGTAAATAGCACAAGATAATGTGACCTGCCTGACAACCACTACCACCACTTGCCAATATATCAATATTACAATACTGTATATCAAAAAATCAGTATTACTCGTACATGTATGGTGGATTATCTATCAGATTATCTTTAAGGTTACAGTATTCCGATTCTATATCTTTCCCCAATTAATTATTTAAATGAAATGTTTAATATATGATCTTCTCATATAAAACTAAAGCAAGAAACCACTTTACAATACCAATCTTAATATATAAAAAAGCCTCAGGTGTTACAGCTCCTACCATAGCATTACTCTACAACAATATCATTCAATATAAAAAAGAAATAAGAATAAACGATACCTAAAAAAATAAGATCAGAAAGGAAGTTCATTGGTGGTCACATTGACAACAAACTAAACTTCAAGTGCATATAAAAAATATAAGAAAAATATTTTGTTTAAGTTAATGGCTGTCTTAGGGTCAAATATATTAATCTTGGACAAATCCACAAGGGCCGTTATGAGGGTTCTAACTGTGTATTGAAGGGCGAAGAGGTAGAACAGCTTGTTGACAGAGCCCGGGTGTATGGGGGGAATTGGGTAAAACCCAGGTTTGTCTCTCAAAAAGGCTGCGGGATCCGTGTGAGAGCAGTAGCACTGTCGGTTGCAATTCTTTTAACCATGTCATGAAGCAATCGACTAAGGAGCGTCTGGTATCATCCTGGACGTAAGTTCAAACCCTCATCACGGCCCTTGTGGATTTGTTCATTTGATGTATCACGCTATTGTGATTTCTGTGTGTGTATTGATCTTGTATTGCTAATATTGATTCACTTAAGACATAAACACTTTTATGAAAAGCAAAAGATTCAAGCATATCAAAGCACAGTAAATGGAGAAAAACAAATTTAATGATGTTAAAGTGGCTCTGTTTATCATTATTATATGCATATAATGTCAGAAATATGTTGAAGCACTGTTACTTGCCTTCTTTTTTAAGAAACTGTTTCTCCAAGAGAGAAAAGCTGACCATGCTGCAGATGCCATAATGTAAGGGCCTTTGAGCCGTTAATATTGCTGGAGTGAAATACAAAATCGGCGAGTTGTGTTTGGTGTTACTTTCAATATACTCATTGAGACAGGGAGGAAGGTTATTCCTGGGCACAAGACCTGGACATTCATCCCATGTACAGGCTGGAAACAGGAAATAATGTTTACTAAATCCTGAAATAAAAAAAAAAATGATCTGATGAATATAAATGTATGTCATCATAATTTTCCATTTTATGATTGTAACTTTTCCTCTGTTGCCACTGGTTGAGAAGGGAGGGGGGCAGTTAGTGTTCATAATAAACAAATCGAATTATGAAACTAATTTACTCTACATGTAAGTTGCTTAGTTTAGAGACTCTACTTGGGGTCGGTCTCTAACCCATTGTTGATATATAAATATATCACTAGTAGTTTTTATATACCTTCTTTAATGACCATTGCTAAACTATGTAACTAGGTTATCAAGACTGTAACTGGCTTAGTTAAATTTATTTTAAATTTAATTTAACTTTAATTTAGTCTTAAGGTAAGTTACTAAAAAACTTACCTTTAGACTACACAGCAAATCAGCAACAGGGAACCTCATATATGTACTTCACAATATAAACTAGGAATCTGAACTCAAACAATACACAGGATATAAATTCATTAGCCGACATATTTCTCTCCAAAACTCTAAGCCTCTACAGCATACCCTGTCCTCTCCTCACCAAGCAAGTAACTGCCAAAAGATTAAACAATCCCTGGCTCAAAAGTACTTAAAGCAATTAACAAGTAACACGAATAAGAAAAAAAACATGGGATTGGCCTAGTTACAAAAGAAGAAGTTAAGAGATACTCATCCATACTTACCAATATAAGACGAAGAGCTAAAGTTTCCTTTTATGAGAATAGAATTATTTATTTATATACAAGAAGGTACATTGGGTTTATGAGAGTACATAACATGATGTGTTTACATTCTTGTAAAGTCACTAGTACGCACAGCGTTTCGGGCAGATCCTTAATCTAACAGATAATATTAAGTAGGTAATTTCAAGCAAAATTTAAGAAATGTTAACAAGTACAATGTAAGAAAAATTGACAAAGAATAGTAGGCACATTAAAGCACATAGATAACATATATAAGAAGACAGCAATGATCACAATGGTAAAGTTGAATGGCTTAGGTACATATATTGTGGGATTGGTAGCACACAATGTGTGTTCAATATATCAACCATGTTATAAGATGATATCAATGATTACTGAGTTGCCCGGTGCTAGATTTAAAGAAGCAATTGGAAATATGAAAAATACATGGAAAGCCATCTCTAACATCCTAGGGTCTAAACATCAGTCACATAACAAGCAGATAAAACTCTCCAAAGATGGTTACACACTTGCAACAGACTTAGAAATTTCAACCAAATTCAATAACTTCTTTTCATCAATTGGTGCTAACCTTTTAGAAAAATCTCAAAGACCCAGACACATGTTACTACATGTCCTGGGGACCATTTCAGGCTTGTTCGCATGTTACTACATATATCACAGGCAGTTATCCTAACTCTCTACTCCTTTCACCAGTCAGCCGACAGATATTATATCCATAATTCAATAGCTTTAAAACCAAAGCTGGGAACATTAGTGAAATACCATCTATGGTGTATAAGTGTCCTGCCCCCTGCACCACCCATAGCTCTGCTATTCGACAAATCTTAAGTGTCATACTTTTCCTGATATTATTAAAAAAGCAAGAGAGACGCCAGTTCATAAAGAAGGCGAGACGGCTAACATAAATAATTACAGACCAATATCAAATCTATATATACTTTCAAAAATATTTGAAAAAAAAAGTATTTACAAACTGCCCTATTCCTATTTTGTAACACTCAACATATTAAGTCCCTGCCAGTTTGACTTCCGTTCCCAAAAGAGTTCAGTGATGCCATTATTAGTCTGTTTAATATAGTCTACACACCCTTGACAAAAATGAGTTTCTAATTGGCCACTTCATTACACTGGGAAAGGCCTCTGATACTGTTAACCATAACTACCTTCTAAGGGGCTTGGTGCTCAGAAATATTCGTCCAAATATGAAATATAGTGAAAATTTTTAAACAAATCTCCAACTTATTGGCTTCAGCGTCGTGAATGTTTCATCCCAATATTTTCAGAAATGGAATTTAGACGATTTTTTTTTAAAGAAGAACGTTTTGTAGATAAGGAGAACAGCTCATGTTAATTGGATCTGAAAAATAATGTAGTAATTAAGTGATGTAATCACCTGTCCGACGCCCAAAGAAGAAGGATAGTAGTAAGAAGTGTCCACACAGTGAATATGTAGCTGGTGACTATCTAGTATTACTGAGTAATACATAATAACACAAATAATAAGGAGTAAGTATATTATTATGCCCTATTTTGTTATATATCATATAAATACATTGTGATTTTTTTCTCATTTGTTTATTATCTGATTTTATTGTAACTTCTACATCATGGAAAGTGCGTACCAGTAACTATGTGAAGCTAGAATAAAATTAGTAAACAAATGAATCAGTCACAACTGGTAGGACCTGGGACATTGAATTCTTTGGGCTGACTTTTTCACAGATTTCAAACTCTATTTTCTTTGTCTCTTTAGGTTGTATTGATGATTAGAGACCAGATTAGGGCTTTATCACTAATATAAAGTCTTAATATAGATCCCACTAAATCATAATAAGTATCCCTATATTTTGTTTAGTTGTGGAGGTTATTTTTTCTTGACTTCAGTTCAGAACATATTGAACTACAACTTTCACATATTCGAGTACGAATGCCAAGCAATATTTATTAAAACTTACAAGATATGTCATCAATTAGAATACTACATTTATTATCAATAAGCTTACCTTCATTTTTCTGTATGAACAGAATTTTCACTTTTAAAACTGAATGAAAAATTCAGTTTCTGTGCGATTATCACCGTTTTTTTTACATATTATATGCAAAGCTCGAAGTTCTAAGGTTTCTGTTGATCGTTTATTTATAAACCCATAACTTTGGGAGTTATACATTTTTGCGTCTAAATTTTGCACATATTTTGAAGGCCAATTTAACTATATTGTTTAAAGTAAACTATACTCTTAAACTAAATTTTATAAAATAGAAAATTGATGTTGTATGCCACTCTGAACCCATAATGAATAAAATAAAAATTGGTGACATTTTAAATAAGATACTCTAATATGAAACTGAATTTTTTCTGTGTTTTTAATGTTTTAATTTTTTTTTTATTTTCTGTTCACGTTATGATGTTGATCCATTAGGAAAAGTTGAAGCATTTACCCTGCAGATTATGCACAAAACGTTAGAGAGTGTTTGAGGAAGGTTAATAAATAGTTGATCAATTATACACCGGGCCCCTTGAACTTCACCACTATGGTGTCCGAGGACTTGCTCTGAGCTTTATTCGTTCCTATCTCAGTGACAGACACCAATATGTAGCCATCAGCAACATAACCTTCCTCACTTAACTTTTACCAGCAGGAGTGTCACAGGGCAGCATCTTAGAACTTCTGTTTCCTATATACATCATTAACTTTCCAAATGTTTCTAACATTCCTAAACATATACTATTTGCTGACGATACTACCATCATCTATTCTGACCCTAACCCCATACACTAAATAATAGCCCGGTGCATGTGGAGAGTTTTCTAAATATGAAATATAGTGAGATTTTTTAAACAAATCTCCCGTTGTTTGGCACCAGTGTCGTGAAAATTTCATCCCAATATGTTAAGAATTTTATCTTTTACGATTTTGTTAAAAAATCAATGCGTATGCGACGGGAAGGAACCGGTACTGATAATAACGATAACACCTCCAATTTTCTGGCAATCAGCGATAAAGAGATGAAAGGGCCTACCCGATGAACGAGGAAGACAAGTAGTAGTAAGGAGGGTATACAAAATGGATATGCCACTGATGCCATCTGGAGGACCAGATTTCCCACATAATTATGAGCTAGTATGTTATTATGCTGTGTTCTATTATATATCATGTAAACAATACTGCACAAATACTGCCCAATGGCAGTATTTCTTATGTCCTTTTGTACAAAAAGGTGACAACACTTTTTTTGAGTGTTTTTTTATTTCATTTTTTTCTCCTTTGTTTTTATTCGGATTTTGTTGTGACCTCTACATCTTGGAGAATGCATATTCGGCACTAAGGGGGGTTAAGTTGGAACGAAATTGGTCAACATGTTATTCAGCCACAGGTGGCAGAATTTGAGACTTATTTTTTTGACCGATTTATTTACAGATTTCATACTCTATTCTCTTTTTTTATTTGGATTGTATTGATGAATGAGGATCATATGAGGGCTTTATCACTTATATATGGACACTAAGTTACTGCAATAAATATGTTTCATTTTAAGAATATAAGAACATATGAATGAAGGTAATTGCAAAAGGCCTATTGGCCCATTAAAGGCAGCTCCTATTTATATCCACCCAATCTCATGGGTGGATATGTCTAACCTACTGTTAGGCAGTTAAGGGGCCCAGTGTCTGGTTTACAGTTATCCCTAATGTTTCCCTATATTTTGTTTTTTAGGGGTTATTTTTTCTTGACTTCATTTCAACACATACTGACATACCACTTACACATTTTTCACTACGAGTGCCCAGCAATCTTAATTAAAACTTACAAGATACGTCATAAATTAGAAGTATTATATTTATTGTAGAGAACTTTAAATGCATTTTTCCCTACGAACATTTTCAAATTTGAGACCTAATAAAAACTTCAGTTTCTGACCGATTCTCATAATGTTTACATATTATGTGCAGCGTTCTTAGTTCTAAGGTTTCCTCTGAATCGTTTATTCATAAAACCATAAAGTTTGGAGTTATAAATATTTTGCGTATAAATTTGGCACATATATGAATGGCCACATTCAATTATTTTTTACAGTAAACTATATTCTTAAACAATAATTCCATCAGAGGAGAATGAACGTTATATGCCATTCTAAGACTATAATGAATAAAATAACAATTGGTGACATTATAAGACATTTATAGCAATTTGAAATTGCGATTTTTTTTTGTCTTTTGTTTTTTTTGTTTTTTTTCATGGTATAATGTTGATCCATCAGGAAAAGTTGGAGCATTTACCATGGAAACTATGCCC